TTTCCCTTTTATTTAGCCCCAGATCACCTAATTTGTGATCTTAATTACATCTGCACAACCCCCTCCATCTTTACTGGAGTAGGTCACTTAATCAAGGGAATAAAATTCATCCTAGCCACAGTCCAGTCCAAATCCAGGGGAGGGGATTACACAGGGTATGTGCTCTCTGGGTGGGGAGCATGGGGTGAGCATCTTGGAATTCTGCCTACTGCACTTTATATGATCTTACAGATTACAAATTTATTTTCACTTTAAACTAAACAAGGGATAACTAGGGATCCAAATGGGCTGAGACAAAAAATTCTGTTTTTCTTTTGTCCTGTTTTTCTCATGTATTGCTTTTATCGTACTTTGTAAAATTTTGTAAACATCCCAAAATCTTGAGTTTGGAACCAGTGAGATAGAAATACATAATAAAAAAAAAATATTCTCTTTCTAAATCAATGTAAATATTTGAATATTCACTATTTTGGATTATCTGGATTTGGATTATCCACATTTCCTCTCCTTTATTCCTCTGCTGGGAACGTTCCCTTTTCTACTGAATTCCTGCTACAGGGTTTGCTTCAGAGGTGCTTCTTCTCTTACCCCTCACAGACTCCAACAGAGGAGGGGGACCCTTGGTCCCCCTGGACTATGCAGAGTCCTCCGTCCTGGTGACTACCATGCGTTTCCGTCGTTCCTACCAGATTATAAGTAAACCCACAGATATTGCTTGAGTGGTAACTATGTTCAAACCTCAGTTTTGTGTTCTGTAGATGATAAAGATTTTAAAAAGCACATCTTTTATTTATTTATTTATTTTTAATTTTTAATTAATTAATTAATTTATTTTTTACAGATATTTCACCTTTTTTTTACCCCATTGGCACCCCCCTCCCCACCCCACCCCCACCCCGTCCCCGACTTAGTTGTCCATGTCCATTAGTCATGCATACATGCATATAAGTTCTGTGGTTTATCTCTTCCCACCCCCCCACCCCCTCTTCTGGGGGATGTCAGTCTGTGCCCTACTTCCATGTTTCTGGGTTTACCGTATTCCTCAGACTGTTATGTTCATTATATTCCGTATATAAGTGAGATCATGTGGTATTTGTCTTTTTCTGCTTGGCTTATTTCACTTAGGATAGTACTTTCCAGGTCTCTCCATGTCGTCCCAAAGGATAAGAGATCTTTCTTTCTTACCGCAGCATAGTACTCCATTGTGTATATGTACCAATGCTTTTTTATCCATTCGTCTACTGATGGACACTTGGGCTGTTTCCAGATCTTAGCTATTGTAAATAGTGCTGCTATGAACATGGGGGTACATATATTCTTTCTGATTGGTGTTTCAGGCTTCTTAGGGTATATTCCCAGCAGTGGGGTCACTGGGTCAAATGGAAGTTCAATTTTTAATTTTTTGAGGTAACACCATATTGTTTTCCATAGTGGCTGCACCAGTCTGCATTCCCACCAGCAGTGTATTAGAGTCCCCTTTTCTCCACACCTTCACCAACACTTGTTGTTTGATGATTTGTTGGTGGCGGCCATTCTGACAGGTGTGAGGTGATAGCTCATTGTTGTTTTAATTTGCATCTCTCTGATGATTAGTGATGTTGAGCATTTCTTCATATGTCTCTTAGCCATTTGTATGTCCTGTTTGGAGAGGTGTCTATTCAGCTCCTCTGCCCATTTTTTAATTGGGTTCTTTGTCTTCCTTTTGTTGAGTTATATGAGCACTCTATATATTTTGGAAATTAACCCCTTATCTGATGTATCATTGGCAATGATGTTCTCCCATACAGTGGGTTGCCTTTCCATTTTGATGATTGTTTCTTTTGCTGTGCAGAAGCTTTTTAGTTTGATGTAGTCCCATGTGTTCATTTTTTCCTTTGTTTCTGTTGCCTTAGGTGATGTATCAGTGAAAATTCTGCTGCGTATGATGTCCGAAATTTTGTTGCCTACATTTTCTTCTAGAATTTTTATGGATTCCTGGGTCCCATTTAAGTCTTTTATCCATTTTGACTTTATTTTTGTGTATGGTGTAAGTTGATGGTCTAGTTTCACTTTTTTGCATGTAGCTGTCCAATTTTCCCAACACCATTTATTAAAGAGGCTGTCTTTACTCCACTGTATGCTCTTGCCACCTTTGTCAAATATTAATTGAGCGTATTGCCTTGGGTCCATTTCTGGGTTTTCAGTTCTGTTCCACTGGTCTATATGCCTGTTCTTGTGCCAGTACCAGGCTGTTTTGGTTACTGTCGAAAAAGCACATCTTTTAAAAGGTGCTCCTGATCTCTTACTTCTACTAGAACAATTTTTTTTTTCCACCTGCTGGTGATTGATGTGTAGTAGGCTTTAAAAAGTATTTATCGAAGGTAGATGGATGAATGAATGAATGAGTGGTGACTATCAAGGTAATTCTTCAACAGTGGCCTGCAGGTAAAAGCTGATCAGTTAGTAACTCCCTTCTTCAGCTGTTTCAGATTTGAAAAGAAGTGTATTACAGATTTCAACTTGGCAAATGTTCAGGGAGAAGAGTTGACAAATTAGAATCTTACACTAATAAAGTAGCATAATTCAGACTAAAAAAACAAAAAAGTAATTAATATTAACAGACAACTGAGACTAACTGAAGTTACATTTATAAATATGTCTGGAGGCTAAGGTGAAAAGGGGATGCATATTAAGGCATACATTAAAAAAAAGGCATATATATTCATTTGCAAGATAGGTTCCCTAGGATGATGATAAGGTCAAAGTTATTAATGAGTTTGACTAGATAGTATCTAAAATTTCATTATTACAGTTTGGAACATTTCATGTAAACCAGTTTCTGTCTGACCTAGACAAAGCTAAGTGAATAAATCCCGAGACTCAATTTGTCTATTGTTTGAGACTCAGTCAGTTTTTAAAGATACTATTTTTTTTCCTCTTTGCCGTGAAAGATTAACCAGAAACAGCAGAAAGCATTAGCCAGAGAACAGATATCCCCTTGTGAGGCTTGTAAATGCCTTATAGTTATATGATCTCTATTACCATAGCAGCAAATGGCTCTGGCTAAGCGCATGAGGCATTCATAATCTCCTTTGTAATTTTAGCCATGGTAATGTGCAATGGTACTATAAATGGTAAATATTTAACATATAGCAGACACGCATTAGTTCATGATTTTGGGGTGCTATGGAAGCGAAGGGGATTTGAGACATATTCAGGTAAACTGATAGAAAAATGACATTATTTTCATCCCTTTTAAATGAGATATATTTGACACGAAAATGGCACATTAGAAGCTATTCAATATCCAAGAAACATGTAAAGTATAAACCCATATTTTTGGGAATACCACCAAAACCAAACGCAATGCCCTTGCTGATTTATCTGCTAAACAAGTAGCTCTTATTATCCAACCCACATAGGTGCCACTAATTTGATATCTTTCCTCATCAAGTTTTCAGAAGGACAGTTGTCTAAATTTGAACAGACTAATTACCAAATGGTAATTTTATAATTTCACTATTCTCTCTCCAGTTGCTAACTAATATAAGGAAACATTTTATTCTCCCATTAATTTACTTATTCATTTTTATAAAAATATAGATTCATAGATTTCTTAGCCCATGAATATTCTATTAGTGTCATTATTTTATTCTAATGCTCAATTTGTTTCATATTTAGCCACTGGAAACTCTTCAAACAGGATCTTATGTTCTTTTGACGTATCTCCATCATTTTAGGGGCACTGTGTACTGTCTGGAACTGGAAGATGTTCCAGGATTATCTTACTTTCCCTGCCCCGTCACCAAGAATCACTTATATTTCCAAGCAGGAAGATTCCTTTCAATGGGGGATGCTATTTGGAAACCAAGATTAGAGTTGAGGTGTGCTCATTGCTGCTGGGATGTCTTTGCTTCTAGGCCCTTTTAATAGGCAGAACTGAGAAATAGAAATATATCTACATCCATTTGTTTTCTTCTCTCTTTATCTATCTAACATATATCTATGTATCTATAATCTATCATCTATCTATCATCTATCATCTCTCTATCTCTCTATCATCTATCTGTCTATCTATCTATCTATCTATCTATCTATCTATCTATCTATCTATCTATCCATCATCTCTCTATCATCTATCATCTCTCTATCATCTATCTATCTAATCTATCTATCTATCCATCTATCATCTATCTATCTATCTATCTATCTATCTATCTATCTATCTATCATCTATCAATCAATCAATCATCTATCATCATCTACCTATCTATCATCTATATCATCTATCATCTCTATCTAATTTATTAAAACCCATGAGTTTATACTGATAACTTTTATTCCACTTCAGCACCACAGAATTCATTCAAATCTTCTCTTTTCCATTCTTGTAACTGCTTTCTTCAAGAGTGAGAAATCTGGCTTCTTTAATCCTCTCTACATTTAATCCTGTGCTCAGTTCTACAGTTTGCACCAGGTAGTTTTAGAATTGTTATCTTGCCCTGGCTGGTTTGGCTCAGCGGTTGGAGCATTGACCTGCGGACCAGAGAGTCCCAGGTTCGGCCCCCGATAGGGGCACATACCAAAAAAAGAAAAAAAAAAAGAATTGTTATCTTACACTGCTGTCAAAACAGACCTTCCAACTAGCCTTCCATATTTGTTTATAGTTCTTTTTAGGCTTTAGACTCAGGGTATATAGTCAAAGTACTGTGTTCTAAGTTATATAGGACAGTTCTAATTTTCTGCTTAAGTACAGTTATGTTTTTAAATTTGAAATGTAGTTAGGCTATATCGTTTCTGTTATATTAGATTTTATTCTCCTAGAACTTTTATTTTTGAGTGCATAAAACATTAACAGAGTCAAAAAGTCAGTCAAAACTATATATAAATCTGTACTCAGAAAAAAGTCACTAACTTCTCCTTATCTCTTCTACCCTGATCCTACTTGGCCCCAGTATGTAACTAATCTCAATTGTTTCTGACATAGCCCTCCTGCGTTTCCTTTTGAAAAAAAATAAGAAAAAAATTTAAAACACATTACGAATTTGTATGTCATCCTTGCATGGGGGCTATAGTATCTTTTCTGCATCATTTCAACTGTAGTATATGTGCTAACTAGGCAAGGACTCATTGACTTTATTTTACTGTCTTATGATAGCAGCAGATACAACAAGGTGATAGATTTTGGAGGTATGTCATTGTTGGATCCCCAGCTGGGCTTTATTCTTAACTTTTTCAGTATCTTAATCTATGTAGACTGTCAGCATTAATTGTGATTTACATTTGAGCATAGTCTAACTTGATAGGTTTCCCTGAACAATTCTTTTTCTTCTTAGCCTTAGAAGAGTTTGCTATTGTGAATAGGCTATTCAATCTGAACTAATATCAGATTTTTACCTGTTCCTTCATATTCCTTTTTTATTTTATTTTTTAATCTTTACCCAAGGATATGTTTTTTAAAAAATTATTGATGAGAGAGAGAGAGAGAGAGAGAGAGAGAGAGAAACATCAATCAGCTGCCATCTGTAAGTGCCTTGACCAGGGATCAAACCTGCAACCTAGGTATGCACCCTGATGGGGAATCAAACCACAACCTTTATGTATAGGGGACAATGCTCCAACCAACTGAGCCACCCAGTCAGGGCCCTTTTATTTATTTTTTTCAATTAAATTTTTATTTAGAATTTCCAATTATATTTATTTATCTTAAAATTATAGTTGACATTCAATATTATCTTAGTTTCAAGTGTACAGTAGAGTGGTTAGACATTATATAGCTTATGAAGCGATCCCCTTGAATAAGTCTAGTACCCACCTGGCATCATACATAGATATTATAATACTATTGACTATATCCTCTTTACTGTACTTTACATCTCAGAGATTATTTTGTAACTGTCCATTTGTACCTCTTAATTCCTTCTCATTTTTTATTCAGCCCTCCACCACTCAATCATCTGGCAACAAGCAGTTTGTTCTCTTAGCCTGTTTCTGTTTTGTTTTTTAGATTTCATATATAAGTGAAGTTGTATGGTATTTGTCTTTCATTTTCTGACATATTTCACTTAGCATAATACCCTCTAGGTCCATCCATGTTGTAGCAAATGGTAACATTTCATTCTTTTTAATGGCTAAAGAATATTCCATTATCTATCTATCATCTATCTATCTATCTATCTATCTATCTATCATCTCTCTCTATATCTATCTATCATCTATCTATCTATCTATCTATCTATCTATCTATCTATCTATCATCATCTCTGTCTCTATCTCTATCTCTATCTCTATCTCTATCTCTATCTCTATCTCTATCTCTATCGCTATCGCTATCGCTATCGCTATCGCTATCTCTATCTATATCTATCTATATCTATATATTTTATTCAATTGTCTATTGATAGACACTTAATCTGCTTCTGTACCCTGGCTATTGTAAATAATACTGCAATGAACAAAATATGCATATATCTTTTCAAAGTAGTGTTTTGAATTTCTTCAGATAAATATCCAGAAGTGGAATATTGGGTCATAAGATAGTTCTATTTTTAAATTTTTTGAGGAAACTTATTTTTCATAGTGGCTGCACCAATTTGCAATCCCAACAATAGTTTACAGGGGTTCTTTTCTCTACATCCTCATCAACACTCATTGTTTGTTGATTTATTGATAATAGCCATTCTGACAGGCAGGTGTGTAGTGACATTGTGGTTTTAGTTTTGAATTTCTCTGATGATTAGTGATGTTGAGCATCTTTTTATATGCCATCTGCATGTCCTCTTTGGAGAAGTGTTTATTCAGGTCCTTTGCCCATTTTTAAATTAGATTGCTTGATTATTTGTTGTTAAGTTGTATGAGTTCTTTATATATTCTGTATATTAACCCCTGATTGGATGTATCATTGGCAAATATCTTCTTCCATTAAGTAAGTTGCCTTTTCATTTTGTTGATGGTTTTCTTTGTTGTGCAAAATTTTTTTAGTTCGTTGTAGTCGCATTTGTTTATTTCTTCTTTTGTTTCTCTCTTTTTAAAAATTTAATTTATTTTTGTTACCTTCTTTTGTTTCTGTTGCTCTAGGAAATATACCCACACACGCATATTAGTAAGGACAATGTCAAAATGTTTATTGCCTATGTTTTTTTCTAAGAGTTTTTTAGTTTTGGGTCTTACCTTTAAGTCTTTAATCCATTCCTTTTTTTTTGCATGTGTCTGTCCAGTTTTCCCAACACAGTTTATTGAAGAGACTGTCTTTACCGTGTTGTATATTCTTGCCTCCTTTGTCATACACTAATTCACCATATAAATGTAGCTTTACTTCTGGTCTCTCTATTCTGTTCCTTTTTTTTTTTTTTTTCATTGTTGAATGTAAAATGTATTACAGATGTTCCACATTTTCCCCCCATTAACCCCCTCATCCCCACTACCGCCCCCCTCCCGCCTTTTTCCACACTATTGTCTGTGTCTATTGGTTATGCATATAAGTTCTTTGGCTTATTTCTTCCCACCCCCCCCAACCCCTTTCCCTTTGTGGTTTGTCATTCTAGCAATGAATTTGTACTTCTTAATCTCTTCACCTTTTTCACCCATTCCCCCAACTCCCCTCCCAACTGGCAACCAACAAAATGTTCTCTGTATCTATGAGAATGTTTCTGTTCTACCTGTTCGTTTTGCAGGATAGAGTAATCTTGGTTGTAGGTTCTTGGTTTTCATCACTCTGAATATTTCTTGCCACTCCCTTCTAGCCTGCAAAGTTTCTTTTGAGAAATCAGCTGACAGCCTTATGGGAACTCCCTTGTAGGTAACTAGCTGCCTTTCTCTTGCTGATTTTAAAATTCTCTGTCTTGAATCTTTTGCATTTTGATAATGATGTGTCTTGGTGTGTGCCTCTTGGGGTTCATCTTGTTTGGGACTCTCTGTGCTTCCTGGACTTGTATGTCTGTTTCCTTCAAAAAGTTAGGAAAATTTTCTGCCATTATTGTTTCAAACAGGTTTTTGATTTCTTGTTCTCGCTCTTCTCCTTCTGGCACCCCCAAGATGCGAATGTTGGCATGCTTGAAGTTGTCCCAGAGGCTCCTAACACTATCCTCATTTTTTGGGATTCTTTTTTCTTTTTGCTGTTCTGATTGGGCGTTTTTTGCTTCCTTATATTCCAAATCGATGGTTTGCTTCTTGGATTTATGTACTCTACTATTGAATCTGTGTAAATTATTCTTTATTTCAGTTAATACCTCCTTCAATTCTGACTGTGCACCATCATTTCTGACTGGTCCTTTTTTATGCTCTTGGAGCCCTCACTAAGTTCATTGAGCATCCTTATAAGCAGTATTTTGAACTCAGCATCTGTTAGGTTGCTTATCTCCATTTCACTTAGTTCTTTTCTTGGGGTTTTGTTCTGTTCTTTCATTTGGGACCTGTTTCTTTGTCTCCTCATTTTGGCTGCCTCCCTGTGTTTGTTTCTGTGTATTACTTAATGAGTGGTATGGGGCTATCTGAGACCAGATGCTGCTCATTTGAAAGAATTTAGGAAAAACCTGAAGCAGGATCCAAGACAGGCCAATCCTATGGTTAAGCAAGTGGCAACAACTTGGGTGGGCCTGAAAGTTGTGTGGGGTGGGGCGGGGCCTCAGGGAGTCGCCAGGGCGGGGCTACCAGTGTGAGCTAGGTTGCTGGAGTCTCAGGTATGGCGGCTGTCTGCCACCCCAGGGAAGGGCTCACCAAAGGAACAAAGGCCTCTGATAGCACGTTTGTCCCAGAGAAAGCCCCCTCTCCAGCCCTCGCTCCAGTGCCAGACAGCTCAGTTCTTCCCTGTATGTCTCTGGTGCCCCTCGAGCTGCCTCCCCTCCAAGTTTAGAGGGACAGAGTCCAATAAGTTCGTGCGGGCCCTTTATGGAGCTGCCTGGGGCTCCAGGTGCCTCAGCCTCCCTGAGCCTCAGTTCCTGCTGGTTTTTCCAGCCAGAAATTATGGGGACTTCTCTTCCTGGCGCTAGAACCCTGAGCGGGGCACCTGGTGTGGTACGGGGACCCCTCAGTCCTCAGGGAGGATCTTTCCTGCCAAGGTGTCCTCCTGATTTTTATCCGCCACACTTGGTTGTGGGACCAGCCCGTCTTGCCACCGGCCCTCGCGCCTCCGCCCCTCCTACCAGTCTGGATGTGGCTGCTGCTTTAATTCCGTAGTTGTAGGACTTCCATTTATCTTGATTTCAGGTGGTTTTGAATGATGGTTGTTCTGTAGTTTAGTTGTAACTTTGATGTGGTTGTGGGAGGACGCAATACCGCGTTTACCTATGCCACCATCTTGACCGGAAGTCTCCTTTTGTTTTTATGCCAGTATCATGCTGTTGTATTACTATAGCCTTGTAGTATAGTTTGACATCAGGTGGCGTGATATCAGCTTTGCTCTTCTTTCTCACAGTTGCTGTGACTATTTGGTTTTTTTTTGTGGTTCCATATAGATTTTAAGATTGTTTTTTCTAGTTCAGTGGAAAATACTATTGGTATTTTGGTAGGTATTAAATTGAATCTATACATTATTTGGGGTTGTATGGACATTTTATTTTATCTTATTATTATTTTTCATCCTCACTGAAGATAAGATTTTATTATTATTATTTTTTTATTTTTTGTTCAGACAGAGCAGGAGGGAGAGAGAGGAAGAGAGAGAGAAAGAGAGAAACATCGATGTGAAAGGACACATCGAGTGGTTGCCACCCACACGACCAACCAGGGCCGGGGACAAACTGCAACTGAGGTACGTGCCCTTAGCGGGAACTGAACCCGGGTCTCTCCGGACCGCAGGCCGACGCTCTAACCGCTGAGCCAAACTGGCCAGGGCAGATTTTATTATTGATGAGAAAGAGAGAGAGAGAGAGAGAGCAAAAGAGAGAGAGACAGAGAGAGAAACATCCATCAGTTGTCTCTGATACCTGCCCGACTGGGAATTGAAACTGCAACCTGGGAATGTGCCCTGACCAAGAATTAAACCTGCAGTCTTTTGGTGCACAGGACAATGTTCCAAACAACTGAGCCAATCATTCCTGATTTTGCTTATATGTCTTTTCTCCCTTTTCCTTTTTGGGTCTAGCCAGGGGTTTGTCAATTTTATTAATCTTTAAAAAAAACCAGCTCTT